ACAAACACTTTGAAGTCACAACACTTAGCATCAGCAAGGTTGAACACAAAAAGGAGTATGGAATAAGATTACTCTTACTTCCAATACTTCTTACTTATAGGTGGTGGTTGCCAACTAACGATGCAACTTCCATTAACATTACATCCATTTCTACTTCATCCAACTAAATCCTAGGTTCTTTCTTAACCTAGCTGCCACCTACAAATCCTACAAGCCACCATAGTAACTTCCTTATACTCTTTTGCCTCCTTTTGACCACTAGCAACTTACCTAAGGTAATACCTTTTAATATGTGACTTACTTTAACAATAACACTCTAGGACATTAACAATAATATATGTTCAAGTCCATTTACAACCACACTTGGATTTTTTTTTATCAATATCAAATTAGAACCATGTTGCATTATAGGAAAGTCTTCATGGTCAATGATTTCTATAGCAGATACAACTTGGTAAATATGCCACCTTTGATGGCTAAGTCTACTTCAAAAGAATTGCCTTTGCTATCAAACTAGACTCTATCTTTGAAAAGATTTATTGGACATATGAAATTGTCAACTTCCACCAGCATTAGAGATATGCAAAAAACTTTTAGAATTTGCATCAATGACCATAGATTTGACAAAAAAAATTGAAAGCCAACCAAAAGGTCTTTTGTGCAATTCAAAAATTGGAGAATACCATACTTTATACCACAATTTTTACCTTGATTTAAACATGTTGAAGGTACAAATGAAATTATATGCAATTTCAAAAATAACAAAGAATTTGAAAATAGCATCTATATTTGCTCTTCTTGTAATCTTCATACATTACAAATCTTTTGTTATTGAATTGCCAATTGAGTTGGATTCATTGCTATTTGACTTGTTTTCATTACCAACAAAGTATGATACATAGCAGATTGAATTGAATTAATTAATGGTTGACTTAAGTTAATAATGTAGGACTTACAACCATATTTGAAATACATTTTGAATTTAACATGATTTACATGCTGAATAATTGTAATAAAGATTAAAATGGAGTTCTACTATAGTAAAATAAAATACTATATTTTATACTTATGTACTAATAAAGACTTCTATGCTAATGCAAATTGATATTTTTGTGCTCCAATGGATCAAATAAATAAATAAATAAACCTAAAATTATTCTCTTGTTAGTTGTTTATATTTGTGTGTTTTTCTAAATAGCAGAATAGAGACTAGTTGTTTAAAAATCTGAATTATAGTAAAAGAATATGAAAAACCACAAATTGCTACAGAAAAAACACATAAAATAAGTTATAAAGTCTATAATTTTTAAAAATATATTAAAGATCCAACTTGAGTAGCATCTTGTAAAATTGAGGATGGTGCAATCAAAAAACAAAAGTTTAACCACAAAATGTCTTCATATCTATTTAGCACCAGGGTCATTTAGAATAACATTTTTTATTTTATTTTATTTTATTTTTTTATTTCATATACATGTACATGTTATTATTGCTATTGCAACCATAATTTTTGCTATTGCCTTCACAACTTATTTTTATTAACTTGATCATTAATCTTTTCTAGAACTAATTTTGATTATTATTTAACTATAGTAAATAAATAAAAAAAATAAAAAAACCTATTGGAAATATAAAATCAACACTTGGTTTTCATGATATGGTATATTATTACGAAATAATAATTCTTGATTATAAATGTAGCAACATCAATAATAATAACAATAATAATAATAATAAATTTACAATAATAAATTTATGTTATACATATATAATTTTAGATTTAATAATAATAATAATAATAATAATAATAATAATTATTATTATTATGATAAGATATGCAGCCATAAATATATACATTGTCACAAACTTATATTGTATTTGATTATGAGTTTATTTTTGTGATGTATTTTTAAATTTACATTTATTCTTCATAATAAACTTGCTTTATTATCTCAGTGTTTTTTAATTAATATCCCTAAAACGTCCTTTTTGCAAAAAACTCTACTTCGATGAAATTCCTAATACCCTTCGTTGAAGAGGGCATTCATGATGGTATGAAATTTGACTGATTCGGTATAGATATTAAAATTCATCAAGCGGTGGATGTGAATAGGTGCGGTTCTTGCTGTCAGCATGGCCGAGTGGTCTAAGGCGCCTAACTCTAGTTCTGAACTTCGTTATGGGGCGAGGGTTCGAACTCCACTGCTGACAAATGTGATCGTGCTGTTCAGTTTACTAGTTATGACATAGTGATCATCGTACAGTCACTCTTTAGATAAGATCTCTATTGGGACATCGATTGACAAACGTCTCCTTTGCTGCTTTTGCTCTCTGTGAGGTAAGCAAACATATGGTATAGAATGAAGAAAGCTAAGAAACTAGCATCGCGATATTGAAATTATTCAAATTTTCAAGCCTGGGGACTGATTCCATGTCATATTCACAGCTCAAATATTGACACTAGGTTTTCATACGAAACTTTTTAGGTGAATCTTCAGTTAAATGAAGTGCACAACAATCAGTGTAAAGTCTGACTCCAACTAGTACATCCAAGCCTAATGAGGTATTCATGTCTCTTTGTATTTTGAATCTTTTAACGTGCCAAAGCACACTTCCAATTTTTTCACAAATAAATTTTTGTAATTGTTAGGTGGACATCCTCATTTTACAACATGGACATTCCTTGCATACACACCTCCACCAAACATAGCTAGTTTTGATTTTAAATTTTGATTCTTGTGAAAATTATTACTTTAATATCAAAATTTGATATACCCTTATCCACTTGTATTGTATGGCTTCACATTATCTCATCCTTTAATTCTTATGTCTTTGCAAAACTTTTGTCAAATAAGATTGTCATTATTCATCAATGTTAGATAAAAAATGGAAATCACATTTTTACAATCAAAATTAGTAAACTTTTTGTAGGGGTTTGTATGCAGGAAGTATTCAAGCAGTAAAGGAAAGGTGTCCATGTAATAAATGGGAGATGTCCATGTAACAGTTCTGTAAAGATTTTATGAAATAGGAGATAAATTGTTTCAAAATACACAAATAATTCGTTCATTTTACTATCAAAGATACACATTCTACAAACCTGATACTGAAAGCATTATTGTAAAGTGATACAAAAAAATAGATAATCCTACACAAACATTACCATATTCATTTAATTTCATAAGTAAAACAGAACTGCACAGACACATCAAAACTAAATATAGTACAGAATGAAAAATAAACTCAAGCAAATCTAAAATCAAACTTATTCCCAGAATAGAAAGTGCTGCTACAAGTGGAACTTATTATTGTTGCATAATATTTTATATACTTGAAAATAAAGTACAAGGTCTTAGTACACAAGAAGTTCATGTCCATGAGAGACTAATATTTTATCCAATAATACTTGTGACATCTCAACAAAATATGCAGTCACGTACGAAGCCATTGAAGAGTACTTGAATTGCCATGAACCGTCAACCCTAAAAAACGGTGATGGTTAGAACTTTCAGTTGCAAAGTCACGGAGTGATGAGGGCAAAGGATCCAAGGAACATTTCTATTGAACCCCTCAACCTTGGGAATATAGTAAAGTTACCATTTGTTCAATGGTTATCCAAGTTCACTCTCTGTTATATATATATATATATATATATATACATATTCCTAGGGTGACTTGTCACACTTTGCCTTTTCACTTTCTCACTGTTTCTATCCTGTTGGGGGTGTACAAAAGCAATGCACCATTTGAAAAGTAGATAATTTTGGTCCTTGGCTGTTATCCGTTTTCTCTATAAGTGGACCATGTCTGGCAACCTCTTGTGGTTCATGTTTCACCAGGACACCCATCAACAGCAACATGTGGATATGGGGATGGATGAATATTTATAAGGATGAATGAGTTTATGGATGAATGCGTGGACCCATGACTATTCTTGGTTAGAATTTGAGCTCTGACATTTGTGAATATGAGGCGGGATTAACGAATAATTGTCTAGGCCACATGAGTTACGTGAGGTTATGGTACATTCATCCATGTGCCACTTTGGCTGACTTGAGAATAGAGGCTGATCTTTGTATTTATGAGTCACCAATACAATGTAAGATACATTATAATTTATTCATACATTATAATTTATCCATACATAATAATTAATCACACATAATAGTCTCCAAGTTACATTATATTTTTACACAATTGGTCAAGAAATGGTTCATTTAAAGTATTTATTTTGTTATTAATGTAAGTACGAGCTTCAAATTCTTCATCCACGGAATGAGCAAATGTTATGTGACATTTGTATTTCATTTCGTTTATGCATTAACGCACTCAGATCTCTCTTTTAGTGATGAGATGAAAAGCTTTTGCTCATTTACCCATTTTTATTCATTTTTAAACATTTTTGTGCAAACTGAATTGAATTACTTATTTAAGTGACTCAGAAGCCTACTTATAGTTGGAAATGATTTTTTAAAACTAGGACAACCTATATGTAAATATAGATCTTTACAGATCTCTGTTAGTTTACAACAGACTTTGAAAAGAGACTTTTACAAGGTATTCATGTGGACAATCAATAATGCTACCTTATCCTCCTGTCTATTGACAAACAACCTTTTGGAGGTGAAGAATTATATGTATGCTGTTAAAGCTCACACATTGGTTTTTAATTAGCAGTTAATCAACCAAACAAGCTTCTTTTAATTAAAAGTTGTTTCAGACATACCACTATCACAATTAATCATTTGTAACTCTCTCATTCAAATAAGCATTGAAACAAATAAAACATACAAATCTACAGATTTCGTTCAAGATTTTATTCAGTCACGAGTAATCAAGATTTTGAGCTATTGAAATGTTGAGTAGCACACAACGTGTGATTGGTATTTTGATACCCCATCAGTATCAATCAATACGTACTTGTCCTAGGTATATGCAGAAATAATCCTCGGCAACAAACATGCTCAACTTTATAAAAACCTCGATCATAATCCCGACAGTGAGAATCAAATGTATCTTCATTTCTTAGATGTGGCTGAATCATACATGTGCAGAAGTAAAACGCTTATCCCATTCAGTTTGTGAGAAGCTGTTTCAGAGTTTGTCCAGCAACCACTATTTGATCAGGCATTCAAAGAATTTGTCCTGAACGTTGTAAAAACTCGGAAGTGGTAAACAAAGTGGAACTTATTTCAAAGTAAGACCTGGGTGGGGATAGGCGACGAATTCCAAGCAACACAGCCTACTGATGCCAGAATACTTACATTTATGATAACACTCTACTTTGAAACCTTGCTGCAAGTCACGTTTTGATTCTTTGTGAACTTGCCGCCTCAGCAGTGCAATTTTCCGAGGAATGTGCAAATTTGCCGGGAATGTGCAATTTGCCGTCTCCTTCATCTCCCGCGAACTATTCTGCTAAAAGATTTGTCCTAACCCAGGTTCCGAAAGTAGTGAAGTCTCATGCCAGACATGCTCAATCTCGTTGAAACTTTGATGCCATGCTTGGTGTTTCAAATCCACTAGTCACTTGCTGCCTTTTAGCTGGAACAGCCTCCACCAAGGATGATCGTGGGAAAAAGCAGAGCTAAAATCTCAGAAAACAAACGAGGCTGAACCATATGTCACGCGAAATTGATGAGGAAAATCCTTACGAAGTACTCAATACTTAAGCATAGAAAAAACAAGTAACCCTTCCATAATAATCGACAGTGATAAAGAACATAACTCACATTTTTTCTTTTCATCTTTTGTATTCGACGACCTCTTTTCAGATTGACCTCTCTGCACCATGCACAACTGCTTGTTTAATAAGCAGCTCCACGCAAGTTAAAACCAGGATTGAATCGAGAATTAGGTGACAAACATCCACAATAGTAACATTTTTCAGAGCGATACCCTCGCACCGTTCCATACCGAGACAATGCTGCACTGAACTGTTGGTACTCAAAAAATGAAACATCATCAGCAACCATATTTGGCGCAATTTGGTGTCCATGTTGCCCTAGCACCAACCACTACCCTAACCAGAGTTGACCGGAGGAACAAGGAATCACAGCCGACACGACATCTTTCTCCCACACATCTTTCACCATTCTGTTTGAATTCGCAAAGGAGCGTTAATCATCCCCATCACCATCCTCAACAACCGAAGTTGATTGTCTCGTCACGGCGCCAGCGACGCGGATGCAAATCCAGCAACAACCCTTGAAAGGGCACTACGACTTCTCCGCCTTGAAGTAGCTGGTTCTGTGAACAAACGCAATGATCATTCAATGCCCAGTCTTCAACCACGAACTACAAACTAACAACATGCAACACTAACAGTTAATTGTCAAGCAATTCTCACACGGATGCCATTGACTGCTCATCGCCGATCCGTTAACGTCCAATCAAGATAATTTAAGCCCTTCAGGATTATGCATTTCGTGATCCCACATGGTCTAACATACACTCATACTTCTGCCTACAGGACGCCACAATACACGTAGACATGTGACCCACTCTTCAAATTGGAAGTCTTGAGACAGATAGAGAGGCTGGGGTGGCTTGCTTTCTCCCGAATTGTATGCTACGGTGGGGAGTTCATGATCGCATGATCCCACACTCTACACTGCAAATGGCCGGAGCATGTCTGGAGCGCCACTTGACGATGAAGTATCCATTTTTACAATTTATTGAAGACTATCCAAACTATTCACTATCAATAGCAAATAGGCCAGTTTAGAAACCGCAGACTTGAATTGACCTCCAAATAATTGATCTGAACAGTTGTTTAATGCTATCTCATCCCTGAGTTTAAACATGATTGACAATCATGTTGAATTAAATGCAACAGAACTAACAACTTGCAAATTACCATTGTCACGTCATTAGGTGATTAATTCAAGATCATCACCAAAGTTTGCAGATGAGTAAGTCAACCTTGGGAAATAATTGAAAGTGTCGTTCAACTCTTTGAAACTAGTAACAACAACCATAAGAATAATTCATAATTTTTACATGTATTTAAGTTAACAAGTAACTAATAAAGTTATATGTATGATTGATCTCAATATGGTATCAAAGCAGAGTTAATATTTCACTAGTGAGCATTGCTACTAGAATAGCTTTTTCTTTCATTAGAATAAATTTATAATAATGAGTCTCACTAGTGAAGCATTGCTCTTAAAGGCTTATAGTATTTTGTTCTTATAACAAGCTAGTTAATATGTCAAGTGAATAGTCATCTATAATCACAATTAGCAAAAGCATTAAGCTAGAAGAGTTGGCAACTTACAATGTATAGAAGTTAAAAGATGAAGGCATTATTGAAGAGAGAAAATATGTGGGATCTAATAGAAAAGAAGATGGTACCAATTTTTTTTTCCAACCATAATAGAGGCACCAACATTCACTTTTGAATAATTCAAGATTCAAAAGTTCAAGGCTTAGGCATTAATTGTGATAGCTGTGAAAGTTGAGTTTATAGAAATAATTTCTAAAAGTGAAGATCCCTTAGTACTTGGCAAGCTTTAAAAAAACATATTTGAAGTTAGTGACTCATCACAAATCTATTTATTATACATCTATCTTCACAATATGCAAATGGCAAAAGACAACTCAATTGAAGAGTACTTACAAATTGCCACAGACTTAAAGAACAACCTATCTACTTTTGAACATAAGATGGTAGATGAAATGCTTGTACAACTTACTTTGAATGGACTTCTTCCTAGCTATGATGGAATAATCCAAAGTTTAAAGATTTTGGATAAACTAATAAGCTTTGTAACAATCAACTTAAAGTTGTAGAATAAATCATATTCTCCTAAGCTGTATAAGAATAGACTAGGAGACAAAGAAGCAATAACAATACACTTTTTGTACAATCATTCTTCTTTATAAAGTCACAATTTCAATTGTGAAAGAACACATATCTATTGGCACAAAGATCATAACTCAATTCAATATGGCAATTACTTAACATGAGTACAGTCTTAAGTTGCATAATGTTGTTTTCAGCAAAGATCACCATTCAATGATCAACATAACAGATTTTGGTATTTTATGTGCAGATCATTGAATCACCTTCTTGTTTATGTCACAACAAATATGTAATACAGAATGAAGATAACAATGTCAGTTTGATAATATATAAAAATCACAACATATCAAACATGACCAAAGATATTGTGCTTACAAAAATCATAGAAGGGCTTGAAAAGAACCAACTATGTTATCTTAGTTTTGGAATAATATAATATGTAATGAGAAACAAGAAGTTCTTTGAATCATATGTACCAAAAAATCAAGGTATTGTAATGACAATATGAAGAAAAAAACATTTCATAGAGAGAATTGGCAATGGCACACTTTATACCACTGATAGAAAAATAAAACTTAACATGATTATTTATATGCCCAATCTTATAAAAAAAATTAATTTTAATAGGATGCTTAGAAAAAATTGAAAAAATAGTTGTATTTTTAAACCTCCAATGTTAGATCATAAATCAAAACTAAAAGTTAATTACAACACGACATTGTGATTGAAGGAATGGCCCATACAAAATCAACAATATTTTTTAATGCAAATTTTGCTTAGCTAAGAAACAACATTGTGAACATTTTTTTTGAAAATTAGCTACCTAAGCCATGAAAGTGTTACAATTATTGTGCTTTGATTTAATTGGTATAATGAGATTTTTCTTGCTTAATGGCTTACAATATTATGCAATTTTCAATGACAATTTCTTGAAGAAGTCATGGATGTTCTTCATGTGTGCAAAATAAAAAACGTTATAAAAATTCAAAATCTTAAAGCAACTCATAAAAAAAAAAAGACAAAGAATTGAAGGCTTATGTATAGGCTATTGAGGAAAGTTTGTGTTGCATGATTTTCAAAACTATTGCAACATGCATGGCATTAAGCGGGAATTTTCACAACCTCACACCTTAAAGCAAAACGGTGTTGTAAAGCAATGTAATAAGATAATTTTTGAAAGAATGTGTTAATTGCTTAGTAGTTGCAATCATCTAGGTTACTTATGATGCAGGACAATCAATAGAAAAAAATTTCTAATAAACAAAAGTCCTACTATTGTAAACTATAAAGTTACTCTTTATAAAAGATACTACAAAATCAAACTTCATGTGAGTTTTGTGGTTTTTTTGAATGCCTTGTGCTCATTCATATACTACAGACAAAGAGAAGCAAATTAGAGAAGAAAACAAAGAAGTATATATTCATGGATTTCAATGAGTAAACAAAAGCATATTAAATGTTTGATCCTTCAACTTACAAGATTATAATATCTAGAGATGTAATATGTGATAAAACCAAAATTAAATTTTAATATTTTACAAAAACTAATAAAGAATTATTCACAATATAAGACAATTCTTATAACTACAAGAACTATTGAAAATAATGAAAACAACTCAGACCATCATCAACTCATTCACCACAACATACTAATACACTAGAATATACCACAACTTACTAAACTTCTTTCTAACATAGACATTAAAACAAAATATTGTATAATTATTTTTGATGGATACATACACCATCAATATTCCATCAGAGATAAAAGACCAAGCATTAGGCTCAAGAATCACCTAATGTACTTGATAAAATATATTAAATCTTAACACTACAAGTAGACCATTGAACACAGGGACTGAAAAAAGGCTATATAAGACAAAGTAGATTCAATCACCAAGAATGGAACCTCAAAGATTGTAGACTTATTAAAAAGAAAGCAAGCTATCACCTCAAAATGGATATTCAAAGTCAAAGTCAAAATCAAAGTAAAAAAAAAACACAATGGCAAACCTGATAAATTGAAAGCAAGCTTAGTTGTAAGAGAATTTGAATAAATTCAAGGCGTGGATTATTTTGACATATATATATTCCATTAGTTAGACAAAGTACTATTTGATTGATTCTAGAACTTAGAGCATGAAAGTATTGGAGCCTGGATGGAGTTGATGGAGTATATATGGACATATTACTTGATTTTCAAACTACAACACAATAAAAAAAAATTATATAGATTGATCTGAGCCCTATATGGATCCAAACAATTATCATGTGCATGCTACTTATAAATAGATTCTCATGTCATAAAAGAAAGATTGATTAAGAGTTCAACAGATTACAATCTATACTACTCCATCAACAATAGATAATACATAATTATACTCCTTTATGTAAATGATCTTATCATTTTGAGTGGCAATTCTATAGAAATTCAAAAGTTAATCTTGCAACTATTACAAACATTTGAAATGACCAAGCTAAAAAATTCCATTATTCATTTTGGAGCAGAGTTGAAATGAGATCCATCTAATATATAATTACTTCAAGAAATGTACAGCAACAAATTGCTACACAAATTTGACATGTTCAATTGTAATCCAACACAAAATTCCATGTGCTCTAATACGCACCTCCAAACCGACATGCAACAATCATTAGTTAATAAGTTAAATTAATACTCATTAATTGGCAGATTTTTTTATGCCTCTCTGATTTTAAAGCCCAATATTAATTTTGCGGCTAATACCTTGAGCAAATACAAAAAAAATCCACAAGAAGGGCACATAATTGCTGCAAAATAAGTATTGCAATATCTAAAAGAAATTTTCAATATTAGCATTTCTTTCTACAAACAAACAATCTTATTCATATGAGTTATGTAGACACAGATTACATAAGGTATCCATAAACTAGATGATCAATATCTAGTCTTATGCATAAAAAAGAAGAAGTTTTAATTGAATAGTCTAAAAAGAGACAAATAATGGTTGTATTAAATACTACCAAAGGAGAATATTAAGTGCTTTTAAAAGCTGCAAAAGATGCAATGCACTTGCAACAAATTTTATAAAAATTACAAATCTGTAGTATTGGTCCATCTTTGATTCTTGATAATAAGTAGAGTTGTAATGAACTAGTACCTACTAGTTTAATAATCTATAATATTACATTCTTGAATTAAGCACATGAAAATATAATTTCATTTTATTAAAGAAATAAGCCTAGTAGCAAATATAATAGTCAACTATGTACCTACGTTTGAGCAACAAGCCAACATTTTAACCAAACTATTAAAAACCTTCACATACTATTGTATGTATGAAGCAATTGGCATACTTTTCATACTCAACTCTATACAGATTTAAATCTATACTTATTCTTTTAAATAGTTTTTTGCAGAATTTTAATCTTTAAAACTTTGTAACTTGGCTTCTTTGAATCCATTTAATTGTGCTTTGCACTTACTCCACAATTTATATATCTTTGGTTGAATATCTACTTGAATACCATAAAGTTTTTTAAACCCTATGCTAGTAGACACAATTCCAGTTACATCAAAAGTTACTTGAAGTTGTATTAATTTGAAGGATTTTTTTTCAAAACTCTAACTCTTACCAAATATTGATATAAATTCTCCAACAATCTTATGGCAAAAAAAAATAAGCTTGCATAGACTCTATGTAGTACCACC